GTATATAATATAAAGAAATAGATGAGTTTTTCTGCTAACTGTGTAGATCTTCTCTTTCTCATCTTCATTTAAATTAACTGTGTAATAAGTGTGTTTCTTATATATCAATTTAAAATGTGAAAAATATAGTTAATAAGTAGCTTGCAGATCTCTCAATATATTTCATTCTATATATGAAATTCTCTGTAAAAGTAATGTATTTTAGAGACAAAGCTAACAGTAGTGATAGAATTTTTAAAAAAAGATTCTCTCTCTCTGTAACACATTTTTCTCTCTCTTTCTCTATCTGCAATAGTGAGTGCATGAGAGTATTATTCTTAAGAGATAATAAGAGACTTATTCTGACATTTTCTAGTGAGTAATAAATGTCTTCATGATGCAGCTGTGATCTCTGTGACTGCTAAGAAAGCCAGGTTGAAGGCAGAGACAGCAGTGTTAATGAGCCGCAGAAGTATCACTTTCATTGTCACATCTTCTTCTACTTCTCTTGCGGCCGCGGCAGTAGTTGCAGTGCCTTGCAGTGAGATATCATCTCTTCTGTCAGCTGATGCATCTGCATTCAGTCTGTCCTCTGTCTCTCTCACCGCTGTTGCAATGCCACTCCCTCTCTCAGCTAATATAGTAATATATGACCCTATGTGATCATTCAGAGAGAAATCTGAGAAGAGCTTGATTTCAGAGACAGTGACTCTGAGAAGCTCAATCTGTAGTTTCTCTCTCACAGTATATCTGAGCCCTGCTTGAAATACTGCTAAGTTGAGTCTGCAGAGTCTTGTGATTTCTTTGTCTTCTCTCTGTGAGAAGGCTTCAGTGCAGTCTCTGACTGACACTACTACTTATCTATACTGTGTTAAATAACTGAAGAAGAAGAGAATTTTATATATCTATCTCTTCTCTCACTTCTATTATTTTTATTGTATCTGTAATAATAACTTCTGTCTCTCTGTAAGTATTATTTCACAGAAAGATGTCATATTAACTCTGATAAAAAGTCTAAATACTCAAGTAGTACAGAGTAAGAATCTTAAAACTTTAAGTATTAATAAATTTCATTAAGACTGAGAAGATCTTTCTTACTCATCTGTAAAAGAAGATAAAAGTGTAAATCTTTAAGATGAAAAAATATCTCAGAATAACTGATCTTAAGAAGAGATTAACTGACACTGCTGTTAAAAGTATTATAGAGATCAATCACTGATTAAAGAGAATCTTACTTTAATTAAAGCAGATGACTGAGATACTTTATAAATTAATAAGTTAATACTTTAAGTATCTCTTATACTCTTCTACAGCATGCTTCTCTATAGCACTGCAGTACTAACTTCTCAGCAGATAAAGATATCAGTGCTGAAGACTTCAATAATAAAGAATAAGTTTGATAAGAATGTAATTATTAATGAGTAGACTCTGATCTCTCTTTTTACTTTTTCAGTGAACTATAACTCTATTAGAATAGTAGCAGTCTGTGAATTAATAATATTAATCTTTTTATTAATTTTTAATATCTCTTTTCTCTAACTGCTTCAAGAATTTTACACTTGTGTAGTCTTATTAAACTTCTAAAAAATTCTTTGAGAGAAAATAGAAGAAGAGTGCTACAGAGTCTATAAGATATCAGCTTATTACTGTAAGATTATCTCTAAAAAACTCTTTAAGAAAAATGAGAAGTCTTAAACAGTATTTCTTACTCAATGTCTCTGATATGTAATAAAGCAGTCTCTACTAGTTATCTCATAGCTTACAATCTCTTTCTCAGTATTTTTCAAATGCTTAAGTGATTCTTATAAATTCTCTGACAATGAATAATCTTCTCATTTAACAAGATATTGAAGCTTATTATAATATATTCACTTATTTAATATTTTCTTTATAAGATATTCAGTATCACTCTCAATCTTAATATTATTCAGCTGAGATGACTTCATCTCAGAGTATTACTTATAGAGCTTTAAATAGAAAATATGAAAAATAGAATGAATTAATTTCAATTCTGTGAGTAATTTCAACTTATATATCTGCTTACTTATCACTCTTATTACTGAGAAAGATTCTAATCACTACTCACTAAGCTTCTTACACAGTCTTATTATCTTAATATTCTTTGCTGAAAGTAGTACTTAATTCTCTATCAAGAACTTCATTAAAAGATGTTTTTAATTATAGTATTTTATCTATCACTTCTAAGCATGATGAATGCTTTTTTATCATCTTCTTATAAATTTTGTTTAAAAGTTTCAATCTTACTTTTACTTCTGATACTGAGAAATACTTCATTCTCTGTATCTGTTTAATATTCTAACTGTTTATTCTCTTCTTTGAAATATTATCTGTGATATCACTGAGTAATGAAAAATTATATTTATAATAAGTATAGAAAGAAGATATTTTTAAGATTGTATTCTTTATATTATTATATATGAATTCAGTGATTAGAAGATGTTTGAGTTAATCATTCTAATAATATAAATAGAATACTTGAAGATGCTGTTCTAGTATCTGATTCTGATATTCAGTCTGATCATCTGTCTGTGAATAAAATACAGTACTGAGAAAACATCTTATTATAAGATGATAGTAAAAAGCTGATCAGTATTTGTGTGATTCAAAGATTGCTTAAGCCAGCATACGATTACAGGCGTACGCCGGCTTCTTATATATTGTAATATTGTATGCTAATTTAATTAGCGGCCGCTATGACCCCTTTACACTTGTACATGTACACTAGTAGTTCAAAAGCGGCTGTGTTATTATCTGACAGTTGTATGTTCTTCTGAATCACATTCTCTCTCATCAGATTTGATCACACTCATGTGATCATATTGTACACTCTAGCTTCATGCAGATTAGCTCATTACTAGCATTTCACAATTGTGTGATCTATCTCTGATTTGACTAGTATTCTGTGTACACTCTCACAAAGAAACTTTCACTATATTACATCACTTATTCACTAACTTTTCTCATTCTTTAATCATCTTCTTCATCATCATCATCATTGAACATCACTATCTTATTCAAGATTTCTATCTCTTCTTCTATTCAACTCTTTTCATTTATTCATCTATCATATTATACATGTTTATGATAATAGCTCTCTGTTCTCATAACAAGTGTTATCATAGTGCTTATATTGAGCAGTTCATTAGCAGTAAGTGTAACATGTTATGAAATATACATGATCAGGACTTATTTATCTTCTAATAATTGCCAGAATGTACTATTATGAATGATACATCTTCTTCATCTTCTTATACACTCTCTTCACCTTCTTATATGTTCTTGACTGTTTCTCTTCTCAGCAGGTTTCTGATTGTGTTTTCTGGCACAATTTTGTATAAACACAGATGCTGATATATTTGTTTTTATTCATATAGAATCTTCATGTGTTGACAGATTCATGTCTGCTGATGATAGTGAACTCAATGTTGAATCATTGATTGAGAACCTGGAGAATGTGATAATGAAGGAATTGTTCATGTCATGTGTGACTGAGTCTCCCGCGTCTCTCTCTGTTTCTTCTGCCGCTGCCTCTCAATCTTCTACACCTGCCTCTGTGTCTGGTTCTCCCGCTCCCGCTACTCCTGTTCCCGCGACCCCTGGTTTTGCTGTCTCTGCTTTTGTTACCAGCTCTCCCTGTTTCAAGAAGATATTGTATAAGCTTAATAAACTATGTCTCTCAGTGTGTACACTTCTGCTCTTCTTACTGACTCTTAGAACAATTTATTGTACAAAGACTGTGTATAACATGACTATCTGAAGCTCAGTTGCAGACACTGATTATTACATTCATTTTAAATATTCATGATGAAGTAATCATTTATTCATTTCAGAGAATCACTCTCTCTCTTAACAGTATCAAGATTATAAGTCTTTTTCTTTTTATCTTTTCTTTCTTACACTGATTTTTCTATTCTTAGAGGAAATTGTTATGAGTTTTATTATGTATGAAGTCATGACATTTACAGACATTAAGAAACTTTTCACAACTGTTAAATTCAATATTGCAGGTATATTCACTCTGATAAATATCTTTGACATGATTGACCTGTATCAGCCTATTCTCTGGTATTTGTTATCTGACTTCATGATGCAGGTGAAGAATATCTGTGTTTTTAGAAATAAGAACACAGATGTTGTTCTTTTTTACATTCACAGATATGAGACTCATACACCTTGTCTGAGATGTTGTCATGAAAATGAGCTGTTCACACACTGTGTTCTGCTTTCTGCATTTTCTCATGTCTCTCTCTCTCTTTCTGAGAAGCCTTGTATGTGTTGTAATTGCATGTACAACTCTAAGACCAGTGAGTATTTATTTAGTAACTGTTCCCATCTCTGAGTTTGTGATTTTTATATACTAATAATGATTCTTAGTTACTCTGATGTCAGAGATCATTCTAATTAAAGATGATAACATCACTGAGACTACCTCTCTCTATTCTTAAGCTTCTCTCATCACTTTCTCTTCCTTCTCTGCAGAGAAGGTTGTGTGTATATCAGATTATAAGCATTCAGCATCAGATGACTTCTGCTGTTATTTATTTGATTCTGTGCCTTCTTCTTCTTCTGTCTCTTTCATCTTCATTCTCTCTGTCCTGGCTTCTGATTCTGCAGGTCCTGCACTCTTCTTCAATTTCTCTATGTGTATGTATACACATTTCTATATTGGCATTTCAGTCAATCTTGTGATAAATGATATTAATGTTGTATACAGAGCAGTAGAGAAATCAGAGATGTGTGTGACATTATTGCAAGAGTGGCTTGTAGCTCTCAAATCCCTTGCAGATCTTGAGTTTTGAGATTTCCTTTGTTTTTGATGTTTTTTGAGTGGTGTGGTGTTGGAAATAGATTAAATATATGATGTATGAAAATGAATGAGATGTGTATGATAACATTTGTCTTTTTACAGCTGACTCTTACAGTTAATGATCAATTCATTATCTCTTTTCTTTTCTTATACTTTTTCTTTATCTGCTAGTCACTACTCTTCCAGAATTCAGCTAGATTTTCATCAACCGCTCCACCACGAACTCGCTCGAATTTTCGAATAAGAACCCGCCGATAGATCCATCGAAAAGCCCTCGATCATACGAGCATTTTGACCCCATCGCCGACCGCATACCCCGTGTGGTGGTGGAGTTATCCAGCCAAACGTGAACCGGACGTTGTTCGAAGCTCCTGTGTGGGATTATCCCCCGTTCTCCCCTACCACACCACAACCCCGGGCCAGAGTGCCATACAAATTGTAAGGTGAAGTGACCTAGCCATATGCACCAATCTTCTCGATTTTGGAAGACCCCCGACCTGTAGTTGTGGAGATATCCGAGGAGCGACCTCCGCGAAAACCCTGTCCATCTTTGATGTTCCAAAACACCAACGCCAAGTCTCACCCTCGTACCGCCCTTCCCAATCTGGCCCATCCCCGGCAGAAAAATACAAAAAGATACCTCGGCGATAATATCAAGCACATAATCAACGGACTCTTCTGAAGTGCAACCTCCACGGTCCGCCGCCAGTGTATCTAGACTTCAACACCAAGTCTCACCCCTGTACTACCCCTCTCAATCTGGCCCATCCCCAGCAGAACGATACAAAAAGATACCTCGGCAACAGTATTCAATACATAACCAGTGGACAACGAGTCAACAGCACATCAACAACTATAAAATCAGTATACCCCAAGGTCTGACTGAGCCTTTGATCCCTGCACAGTGAGATATATTAAATCTAGTTTTAATACCTCAATATTCAATAGATTCTGCAAGGGATTGAGAACAGCAACACTAGGTTTCTATTGAATTTGAGAATTAACTCTATATTGATATAATCATTGACAAAGTCTTCTATTTTGAGATATAAATAATCAGTTCCTCTACATCCCGCTGGCAATATTTATATTATCATATAGAAACAGACTTATATTCTCTATAATATCAAGACCCTGAAGAGGGAAAGTCTTGGTAGGGGGTATACAGTAGTGTATATCTTAGCAGTTTCTATCTCATTCTTCTGCAGCAGTTAATGCAAAAAAAAAAAAAAGATCTTAGAAATAGTTTTTTACTTCTCTTGAAAAAGTAAGATGTTTTTCTCTGGGTTTTACACAATATTCTTACAAAGAATTAAAAACAGAGTTGTTTTCTGTCATAATTTCATATTCTTTTAAGTAAGAATTACTATTTCAGTGGCTGAAGAGCTTTCATTAATACTTAATTCTTTTTTACACTCTTTATTAACTGATTTGAGTTGCACACTTGTTGTGTGAGGAGAATTGGATGATTTAGAATAAAATTGAATAGTTTTAATCAATTTCTCTGCAAAAAATTGATTTATTTTTTGTCAGTTTTTCTCTCAAAAACTGTCATATCATCTGATTTATTATCAATTGATATCATACTTTTTCTCACTGTATTTCAAGAAAGAGATTGTAAAGATTTTATTGATTTATCTTAAAAATCAATTTTAGTTTATTAGATTCTCTTCAAAAATCTAACCTAGTTACTGAACTAGTGTGAAAAAAATCAGGTGTTTTATACACAAAAGTCTTTTATTCTTCTTTTGAAACAGTCTGACCAACTTTTCAATTGAAAACAGACTTAGAAATATCTCAATTGAAACAGTCTGACCAACTTTTCATTGAGTGAAAACAATGAGTTCAAAAATACGCTCAGTTGATGTGGAAAAAGATGCTTTCTCAAATGCTATTCCTGAGATTGAAATTCTGAAGAGAAGAAAGAAAGAAGAAATAGAGAAACAACAAGTTCTTGAAATACAGGAACTTGAAAAAGCAAGCAAGATTCTTGGAAAGCAGTGTCTGAGTGAGATGAATGAAGAAGTTCTGTTAATTCTTCATGCTCAGGCCAGACAACTACAGGAGGTGATCAAGTTCAAACTTGGAATCTCAAACACAGTTCAAAAAACCTTGAAAATTCCTAGTACAATCACTGACTCTTCATCTTACTCTTCTTCTTTCTTTCTTCCTACTTCTTCTTCTTCTTTGAATCAGAAGAAAACATATGCTCAAGCAGCTGAATCTGCTGTCTCTAAATCTGCTGTCTCAAAACCTGCTCAAAATCCTGAGAAAACTGAGAAGAATACTGCTCATGCCTCTATTCATAGAAAAGTGAAAAAGAAAATGCAAAAAGAGAAAAACTTCCAAATCTCTAGAAATAGAAGACTCATTCTCAAAGTCTCAAACCAGGACATTCTGCAAAGAAACAAGCTAAACTCAAATCTCATTTTCAGAATCAGAAATGAAATTAATCAGCAGTTCTTTTCTCAGTTGATGACTGATATTGAAGTTCAAAAACCAGTTATAGCTTCAATTGAGCCATCATTCTTTGGAAACTCTATTATTCTGACTACAATGCCTGAATTCAGTGCTGAATTCCTTATTCAGAATGAGAATCTCTGGAAGTCAGCAGTAGAATCATTGCTAAACACAACAATTCTATCTGAAAGAGATGAAAAGTGGGGCAAATTCATTCTTCATGATATTCCAGTTGAAATTTTTGACTGTGAAGAAGGAATGCTACTTCTCAAAAATGAATTGGAAGAATACAACTCTATTCAACTGAGAAAGGAGCCTGTATGACTAAATTCAATTGAGTTCAGATAAAGCAGGAGAAATGCCTCTGTTCTAGTATATACAAAAACACTTGAACAGTCAAAGATCTCTGAAGTAAGAGTAGCAGGTTTGAAAATGAGAGTTCATGAATACAAAGACTCAAGAATGAATCTCAAAGCTCAAACACAGTGTTCAAACTGTCAAAGATATGGACACTTTGCAATCTCATGTTTTAGAGACTCAAAATGTGCATTCTGTGCCAGAGATCACAAAACTAGTGAGCATAAATGTGAAACATGCTCAAAAAGAGGTGAAATTTGTCAACATACTCTGCTTAAGTGCTCTAATTGCAAAGAAAAACATGCATCTAGCTCTAAAGAATGTATGTTTGCTCCTAGAACTCAAAAGAACTGGAGAAAAGATGAAGCTCAAAGTCAATCTAGAACTGAAGAGAAGAGTCAAGCCAGTAAACTCACAACTGCAAGCTCAAAAAGAAGAAACTCTCAATTATCTAAGTCTTCAAACTCCAATTCTCCAGCAAAATGTAAACAGAATTTGAATCCTCAAACTCCTGTTAAGATTAGAGAATTGAGAAATGACTCTGGTGATAAACTAGATATAATGCAAGCAGTTGAGATTCCTACTTTTCAGAACAGTTATAATCTACTATCTGATGATAGTGATTAGATTCTTCTCTACTCTCTTTTAGTATGAATATACAACAAAAACAACAAAAAAAGTTTAAAAACTCTTCAAAAATCACATTTATTCAAAATAATGTGGATAGAAACTCAAATTGCATTTATTCTTGTCTTCAAATTGCATTTGAACAAAAAGTTGATTTTGTACTGCTTCAGGAGCCGAATTTTGATGCTGAGCAAAAATATGTCATTTCTCATTCAAGCTACCACTGCTTTTTACCTCAAAAGTCTGAGATAAAGTCAAGAGTAGTGATCTATGGAAGAAAGAGATCAAGATATCAATTTAATCTAAGATTTGATATCATGTCTGACCCTGATATTCTGGTGGGTGATATTATAGATAAAGAAAATGAGTTTGATACTATACAGCTCATAAATATCTATAATGAAAAGTCATTGAAGGAAAATAACAATATCTGGACAATTGATAGAGGATTTCTGAACATAACTCCATCAAGAAACTCTATAATTGCAGGAGATTTCAATGCACATCATCCCTGATGGAATTCAGAATGCAAGAGAGCAGTGAGAGCTGATAATCTGATTGAATGGACCTTTGAGCATTCAATAGATTTGGTTAATAAGTCTGATCAACAAACATTCTTTAGAAAAGGCATGAAACAGAAGTCTATTATAGATCTAACATTCATGTCACAAAATCTAATGGAAAGAAGACTTGTAAACTGGTTTATTGATTCAAATGAGACATCAGAATCAGATCATGAGATTATTCAATTTGATATTGAACTGAGTGAAAAACAAATGAGTGAAAATCCTCTTCTCTCTAATCAGTATAACTTTGAAAAAGCTGATTGAAAAGCAGTTGAAGAAAGTATAAAACTGTTAAAATCTGAAAGACAGAATGAGCTATATTGGAATTCTGGTCAAGATATCTCAAATGAAATGCTTGAGAATAGAGTGAAGCTTATTACATCTATCATTCTAACAAGTGTTAGAGATAATATTCCAAAAAGAAAATCTTCTGAGTATTCAAAACCTTGGTGGAATGAGAATATCTCATCTAAAAGAAAAGAATTAGCTACTGCTAGAAGAGATTGGAAGAATGATGTAATATCTGATGAAGAGTTCAAAACTGTCAGAAATGAATATTTTTCAGATATTAAAAGAGCTAAAACAGACTGCTGAAATAAATTTCTTGAAGAAGCACAAGGGAAGGAAGTTTTTAAAGCTTTTAACTATACTAAAACAAGAAGTGTAGCAAAACTTCCAGCTCTAGAATATGAGTTTCAGAATGAATCATATACAGCAAACTCTTTTGAGAAAAAATGTCAAGCTTTCATGAGAATTCTCTTTCAGAACTCACCAGATTCAGATTCAGATTCAGAGGAAGAGAATATATCACTTCTCAACTACATTGATGAAAATGACTGGGAATGGCCTGATCTTACACAAGATGAATTAGAGTCAGCTATCTTCTCAAGTTCTGTTAAAACTGCTGCAGGTCCAGATTCAATTAATCACTTGATTATTCAAAATACATATTCCTACTTAAAGAATGAATATTTTAAGCTCTTTTTCAATCTCTTGAAAAATGGATATCATCCTGAATGCTGGAGAGAAGCCACTGGAGTGATTCTTGCAAAACCTAATAGAAAAACTTCAATTCCTAAGTCATATAGAGTAATATCTCTATTGAACTGTTTAGGAAAGGTTTTAGAAAAGATAATAGCTACTCGACTATCTTTTATAAGCTCTATAGATGATTCTCTTTTATTCAGTGAACAAATGAGAGGTAGAAAACAGTGTTCTGCAATTGACACTGTTCTCTCAGTTGTTCATGATATTCAAATAGCAAAGCATGAGGGTCTGGTCTCAACTGCAGTTTTTATTGATATAAAAGGAGCATTTGATCATGTTTCAAAGTCAAAGTTAATTCAGACATTGAAGATATTAAAACTGCCACTTTCCCTAATAAAATGAGTTAACTGTTTTATGTCTAAAAGAATTATACAACTCTTCTTTGATGGAATGAAACAAGACAAGACTGAGATAAAAATAGGAGTACCACAGGGATCTCCAATCTCACTCATTTTATTTGCAATATACACTGCATATCTATTCAAAAATAGAAATATGAGAATAGTGCGATCTCCGAGTTATGTGGATGATATTGATCTAGTCTACAGCTCAAAAA